TATAATTTATGGGATATATAATACAAATTCCATTTTAAGGTTTTCATTTTCTTTTTAAAATGTGAAATGATTATGTTTGTAAACTTTGTTTCTGTGAATACAGGCTACTTTCCTGAGCGAACAATATAAAATGTTCAAAGAAAAATAGTGAGATGGTCATACAGAAATTTAAAATCCTGTTGGGGAAACAAGGCACAAACAAATGCAAATTAAATTTCAACACAAGAGTCCTAGATAATATTCTCTTCTACACTGAGGGCAGGAAAAAGAAAAATATGAATTGAGGTAACAAATAATGAGACTGAAATAGAAAATAGGTTAATTCCGATGTGTGGGAGGTATCTGATTAAATGAGGAAAAGGAAGTGAACTAATGGTCACTTAAGTAGTATTCTTATATTACTGGGAAGCCAAACTCTTCCTTTTCCATGCCATACATACTTCAACTTTACCTATTGGAGCATTTGCTTTAGACAGTGCAAAGTATCTTGGTTGAGGATTTCCTTACATTGATGCAACAATTCTGTACTCCAGGGACTTTTATGGGTTGACTTGGAGAGATCAAATTATAGCATGTATAACATTATTTCTATGAGAAAATATGCTTTATGTAATTGTAGATAAATCTGGAAGTTACCAGATTTTAAAGAATCTAAGTTATTTCTTATAGGCAGGCAGCACATTTTAGTGGTTTTATGCATGAGTTCTTGTAGACACACTGGATTAAAATCCCAGTTCTACTTCTTAATAATAGTGTGCAGTATTGTACAAATTACTCACTGCCATGTTTTCCCCATCCATAAAAATAGAGATACCTTCACATGGCCACATGAAACTGGAGGGTCAGCTATGCTGGAAGAAGCTGGCCTCACTCATTCATCTGGCAGGTGGTGCTGGCTGTTGGCTTAGTTCTCCTCCTTGTGGGCTGTCATGCTACGTGAGATAGAGTGACTTCCTTTCATGGAACCTCAGGACAGTGCTCCAAGATGACAAGGAGGAAGTTACAACCCTCTCAAAGCCGAGGCCGCAGATCTCGAACAGCATCATTTCTACTGCATTCTGTAGAACAAAGCAAGTCACTTGACCAACCCAGATACAAAGAGATGGAGAAATAGACACCACATCTAGAAGGGAGTTGAAACAAAGGGGCACATGTACAGGGATAGGAGGAATTTGTGACCATTACCATTAAGCAGTCTTTTACTTGTAGTCTCCTTTGGGGCATGTGGGTAACCCCAAAGTAAGACATTAGCTTAATAAAGCAATGAAGGAAAAAAAATTAAGACTATCTTATAGAGTTGTGCTGATATTTAATAAGAAACACATTTGAAAATTACTTAGCCCAATGCCTGGCATATAAGTCCTCATCAGATATAAATGATGATGACAATGATAATGGTTCAATGATTAGGACAACACCAGGGGAATCAGTGGTGGTTTTGGTATAGATGAGTGAACAGATGAAAGTATTATTTTTGAAAGATTAACTTGGTGCCATTGAACAGGACAAATAGCATTTGGAAGAGATTGGAGAAACAGAAACTAGTTAAGAGGCTATTATAATAGACTAGTTGTAAGGTTATGAAGAATTGGAGTGAATGTAGTGGAATGAAAGTACAGATGTAAAAAAACATTTTGATGAATAAATAACTAGTTGTCTTATTTGATATGGTTAAAGAAAAGTTTTTCAAGATAAGAGGAAGATAAAGAGACACAGCAAATTATAGTATTGCTGAGTTCACTTTGTAAAATGTCCAAGTCAAGTCTTAATAGCAATATTTATATTAGCGATTAAGAAGCAGTAGAACATGAGTCACATCTGGCTATAAACTTAATGTCATCTGATTCATAATTATATAAATTCCATTGTGAAGTGGATGAGAGAAACATTTTATATCTCTCTTTCAGAACTCAGACAAAGCCTAAATCAGATGCTTTAAATGTGAGTGGTCCTCAGTTATATGTGTTTTCTCTATGGCCCATTCTTTTTTATGTAGTGTATTAATTCTTTAAAGTCACTGAGGAAAGAATGGCAAATATTCGTTCTCTCTCCTGACTATTGCAATTGACTGTATTGGCTATCTAAAGGTCTCTTTGAGAAAGATTTCCACATCCAGACTTGGGGAAAAGAGTGCTATGATTAATTAGTAGTGTTTACCACAAATGACTAATTCACTTCTTATATCAATTAGAAGGTAATATGTAAATATATAAATGAATGAAGTATTTTATTGTTTACAGATCACTTGCATATGCAATTTGGAAGTTACTTAGCAAATAGAAATAATATATCTTTAGTTTCTTGAAAATCTTAGGGAAACTGAGCCAGTACTAGTTGCATACTTTTTAATAATATTTATCCAAAAAAGAACTATGTTAAAATATTAAAATCTCATAGTAGCTTTGTTCACTTCTATAATTTTTTGGCAAGAGCCTTAAAGTGTAAGTTAGTTCATTTTTTAAAACCATTTAAAACATTTCTGAGCAATGAAACATTTTATTTTTTATTTCACTAAAAGGATTTTTATTTTTTGTAGCCCACTATACACTTTCTGTTATTTCTGGGCTGCTTTATTAGTTAGTTTCTTCTTTGTGTTTTCACTCTAGAAAGGTTGTGTATGTAAAGAATGTGGATATGTAACCAATCTTCTTGCAGACATCTTTGAAATTAAAAATACATTGCCTTTTTCACAAACACAGTTGAGTCCTTACAAAAGATGAAATATTTTAATTATCTGATACATAATAGTCAGTAACCATATGAATTAAATTCTGACTTTTAACAACAAAATATTTTCAGAAAAAGAACATAAACAAGTCTTTTAATAGTATTCTATTGTTTTAAGGAAGGAATTTAATTTGACTTTTTAGTATTCTCCTGTGATTCTACTGCTGTGATGCTACTGTGCTCTGCCAGTTATATCCAGAATATTGCTGATCAATCTTAGAGATTGTACTTTTTCAGCTTTAATGCTCAGTCAATATAATTCTTAATGGGGTTCTGTATTTTACCTCCCAGATTCTAGCCTGTGTAATATGAACTTTCCCCCCCAACATCCTTAAAAGTAAAATTTAAATTATATAGAGAGTGGTAGTGTGTTCTGTTTAAAATACACATTTTCCCATAGATAACCATAAAGAGAAAGGAGCAATGTTATGTTCTTAAATTTGAAAATTTATATAAAATGGGCAAAGTCTTTCAAAGTATGTAGCATATCAAAGCTAATCAAAAAGAAATAGAAAATCTGAATAACTCTCTTTTAAAGCCACCAGAACCACTGCCGTTATTCCAAGAATGGATTAATCCATTCATGAGGGTACAGTCCTCACAATCAGATCACCTCATTAAGACTACACCTTTCAACCACCAGTATAGGATTTCCCACCCTCTTAACACTGTCAATGTGGTGGGTTAAGTTTCTAATACATGGACTTTAGGGGACACAGTTCAATCCAAAGCATTCCACCCCTGGCCCCCAAAGTTCATGTTGTTCTTACTGGTAAATACATTCATTCCATCCTCCAAATCTTAACTTATTTTAACTTAAAAGTCCAAAGTTTCAAGGTCCCATCTATGAAATCAAAGCAAGTTATTTGTACTTCCAAGTTACAATGAGGAGGACAAACATAGGGTACATGTTCCTATTCGAAAAGGGATTAATAGGCCAGAAGAAAAGGATAACAAGTCCTAAACAAGTGTGAAACCCAGCAGGGCAGGCATTAAATCTCAAAGCTGGTGAATCATGTAACAACTCCATGTTTCACATTCTTTGCACACTGGTATGGGCTCCTAGGTCCGCAGGCAGCTCTGCTTTTGTGGCTTTTCTGGTCTCCAGTAACGCTTTAGCTCTCCCAGGCTGGCATTGAATGCTGATAACTCTACAGATCTGGGGTCTCTATGGTGGTCCCACTTCCACAGCTCCACTAGGGATGGTGCTGATGGGGTTTCTCTGCTGCAACTCCTACCCCATGTTTCTGCTCAGCATCACTCTAGAGAAAGCTGTATGTGGTGACTGCCTCTGTGACAGTTTTCTTCCTAGGTCCCCAGGCTTTTCCATAAATCCTTTGAAATTGGGGCGAAGGTTCCCAAGCCTCCACAGCTCTGGCATTCTGTGAGCCTGCATGAGGATATAGCCCTCATAATCCAGTCACCTCTTCAAGACACCACCCTTTCACCACCACAATAGGATTTTCCACCCTGTTAACACTGTCAGTATGGGAGTTAAGTTTCTAATACATGTACATTTGGGGACACAATTCAATCCAAGTCACTGATAAATTAAAAGCATTTCCATTATAATCAGGAATAAAACAAGAGTATCTCCTTTGGTCACTTCTATTCATTATTAAACTGGTGAGCCCATCCAGCATGGTTGGAACCCCCTAAATAATAATAAAGGTACTAGGATTAAGTGAAAGAAATTAAACTGTTATTATTTGAAGATAATATGTTTAGATAATAGAAGACTAAAAGAAGCTATAAATATGTCATTAGAATAAGAAAGTTTAGCAAGTTGTGGTATATGTTTAATATATAAAAGTTAGCTGTAATTTTAAATCCTTTTTATAATTGAAACAATAAATATTAAGTCGATTAGGAATACGTCCAACATTTTAAATATGTGTAAGACTTTTATAGAAGAAAATGTTAAAGATTTATTGAAAGAAATGAAAATGACCTGAATAAGTGAAGAGATATGCCATATTTATTCATGGGTTCTTTTCTCTTTACTGTGATTTCCTAAGATGTGAGAAAGACCCATTTTCATAGGCATTGCTCTTCATTTTGAAAAGGGGTTAGTCAGATCTCATCAGGGGCATGGCCAGTTCTTCAGTATCTTGTATCACTTACTTTACATCATTTTGAAGCTCTTCCTCCACAGTGATTTATTAGGCCAGGACTTTCTTCTGGTGTCATTCAGATACTGTAACTGTTACACTGTCTCTCATTCAGTTTTCAAGCAAAAATGAAGTCTTTAAATTATTTTTTTATCCTTGCAGACTTTGCCTTCAAAAGAAACAACATTTTTAAATACTACACAAATGTCTTGCCTGCAGTCAGCTTCAACTTGGAGTAGCTGCAAACATAATTCAAAGTCTCAGATATTAAGAGAACATGTATCAGAGTTAGATTCCTCTTTCCATTCTGTTCTGTCACTGCCATCAGGTAAGACTCCTCATAAAATTTTTAAGTAACTCTGGATATTTTCTAAAGTGAAATCTAATCCTATAAATACAGGAAATCTAATAAAATTTTATCAATTATTTTGTCACTAGATGATAGAACTAAACAATTCTCATAGAGCAATTAATCTGGTCATATGAGGAATTAGTGTTCTATCTGTGTAAGTTGATTCTTTCTAAACCAATTTGATTTATTTTGGGAAGTAACTAGCTTTTAATCTCCTTTTACTTTACTATTAAATTTTGAGCATTTTATTGATAAAATGGCTGTTCTGTTGAAATGTTTCTTAGTAATAGTAATTCAGTGTTGTTTTCTAATGTATTGTTGTGCATGGAGTTTTTCCCTGCTGTGTAATATTCCTCCACTTCTAATCTGCATTGCATTTTTCCAAGAGGGAAGAAAACTTTTCATCTGTAGCTACAGTCAACCTTTGAACCTCATTAGTGTCTATAATCTATAACTAAGTAAAGGAGGCATTTATATCCTCACATACCTAAGGTGGTTTTCAATTTCCAGTTCTTGAATTTTTTGAAAAACCTTTTTAGTCCTGTCTATATTAGAAATAAAGTAAATATTTAGGGTAGAAAGGAGACATGCCTCAAATTGGTTATCTCAGGTTCTTCTCTTTATTGGAGGATATCTCAAATGGGCTTCTGTTTCCTTTTCAATGTGTAGTTCTAATAATCTTTTAAATTCTAAAAATCTTTTAAATTCTTTTTTTTTTTTTTTTTTTTTTAAAGATGACCGGTAAGGGGATCTTAACCCTTGACTTGGTGTTGTCAGCACCACGCTCAGCCAGTGAGCGAACCGGCCATCCCTATATGGGATCTGAACCCGTGGCCTTGGTGTTATCAGCACCGCACTCTACCGAGTGAGCCACAGGCCGGCCCAAAATCTTTTAAATTCTAAATCTCTTTGTGAAGCAATATTTTTTGTAGCTATCCCCTTGCCTGGAATGTTAGTTTAGTTTTTATTAGCTTTATAGTAGCTTCTTAGCTACAACATACTTTGAAGTAAGTTTCTAACAGGAACTATTTTATTCCATCTTTGAGAAAACCTTAATAGTAGGAATAAATAGTAATCAATATAGCAATAATAATGCAGCTAACATTTGGTCTTAGTACACATTGGGCGCTATATATACTAAGCACATTACATTTTCTTGTTTAATTCTCAGAACAACCCCATGAGCATAAATACTGTTGTCCTCTTCATCAATTTACATGAGAAAATTAACCTCAGATATATTAAATTATTCACTAAAGATTACTCAGCTAATAAATGATGGAGCAGGATTTGATCTGAGGTAGTCATTCTCCAGAACCACACTCCTAACCATTACTCTTTACTCCCTTTTCTTATTAGCTTATTTGTTTCTCTGACAACATAACCCTAAGATCTGGTATAGATGTCCTTTATCCTAAGACAGTTATGCCCCCTCTTATAAGTAAGATTAGCTTTTTTCCTACTAGCTAGGATTATCCATTTCTTCTTGCATTCATTTAATAAAAATCCCAATACCTACTAGATACCAGGTACTAAGTAGGTGGAGTATAAATACAAATACATCCCTCATGCTACTTGCAACCTAGTTTAAGACAATGGAAATGTAAACTAATAAGTGAATAAAGTACCATGAAATATTTTAATAAAAGCCCACTGGTCATAGTGTGAACACTAAGAAAGAAATATAGGTGGAACAAGGACATTCTTTAATTATATCATGTTTTCCCACAAGTCACAAAGAACAGTGGTAAAATAGGTGATATTTTCTTTATAACAGGATTTCTTTAGAGAAACAGACTTATATTTATGTAATTGGAAAATATCAGAATCCTGAAATGTTTAAGCAGCATTTTATGGGAGAATATTTAGCTTATATCCTCATTTTCCTGTCCCTTGGGACAAACTCAATAATGATATTCATGAACTAATTTTTTCTTTTTGCATATTTTTCCACACTTGAATATGGACCTGACATTAAAATAATCATTCATGGGAAAAATATATCTTCTCTTTGTTTAAAATCCAGACTCTTAACTGGATTTATCCTGATTTGTGTGTTCAAAATTAGTTTTCTTAAAAATAAATACCTTTTTGTATTAGCAAAACTTTGTGTACATTAACTGCTTTATCAAATATTTCTTCACGTTTCTCAGGGAAAAGTTTAGGCATCTATTAATGAATGCTTTTTAAGATGATTTTGTTTTTACATTCTTAATTGAAAGAAACCCTTTAATAAACGTGAAGCACATCTACTTTACTCCTTAGCTCCCCATAGGTTGTCAGATTATAGACTATGAATGTAGTAAATTGAATCTCTCTTCCTTAGTCTCTATTTAAAGGAAGAGAGCTAGTTTATCAGTAGGTTTTAATCTTTGTAAAAGTAGAGTCATTTGTGATTTATGTTAGTAAGTTAAGGACTTGTGAAACTTGATGTTTTGATAAAAGGTTGCGTCTGAATTATAGTGGGTTTCCCTCAAGTAATTAAAACCATGTAATTGTATCTTTTGGAAACCTCATTATTTCAAATACAGAGTCTGTGGGGGTGGGGTGGAATGGATTTGGAGTCAGCCAGGTTGGGCTATAAGAAACCTGGCTTTCTTAAAGACCTCTGGGGTGCATTTGTTTTCATTCATTTTTGAGTCGTATTTATGAATATTTACAATTAGTGTTCACCTTATGCACTATTTTAGGAAGTTCATGAAGTTGTTCATCTGTTAGTTTTTTAATTTGTTTGTTTATTAAATACACCTAATCAGTAATTTTCAAAATACTGCTACCAACATTCTTGGAAAAAGTACTTTGCCACTTCTGATAGCTGTGAATCTTTAAACTTTTGCTTATTTTTCTTAGCTTATGTGGTAGTTATAGAAAGAAAACAATCTTAATATTACAGTCTGTAAAGAGTGCTGTTCACTGAAAATACTTATTTAACTTTATTTTTCCAGATGTGCCTCTTCATTTTCACTTTGAAACATTGTTAAAAAACACTGAATTAAAAGGAGACCTTGCCGAAAATAAATTTGTAGGAGACTGTATCATATCTCCATCACCTGGTATGTCACATTTACAAATCTTGTACATTACATACCTTTTTATATCCTTCATATTTATTATTTTTACATTCTAAGGAAATAAAATTTAACAAAAGAATAAATGTAAATCGTTAATTTTTAAAATTCACTTCTCACAAATCACACATACACCAGTAGAAAATACACAAAAGCAATCCTAACAAGAAATATGTGATGCCAATTGGGTGAAGATTATGAAATATTATTGATAAACATAACAGAAAATTTAATAAGTATGGAGAAGCAACATTCCTGCATGGTAAGATTAATAAGTATATCAACTCTTCCTATTAGTTCATATGTGTAATGCAATGTAACTTGAAGTTCTAATAGAATTTGATTAAATAATTCTAAAGCCCATTGGGAAGACTTAAGAGAGGAAAATATAAAACGTATTGCTGGAAAAAGTACTAAGAAAATCTAGCCCAACCACTTATGGAAACATGCCAGAAATCTATACTAGTTAGTGCAGGTTCCATTTTGCTTATATTTAAGAAACTAGATCCATGGAGCAGACTACATAGTTTATACTTTATTATATAACCAGGGAAGAATTACATATCAATTGGAAAGTGGAGAACCATTTGATAAACAGTATTGTTAGTCTTTCTGAGTAAAGTTTTTCACACTCGCTTCATACTATGAATTAGAATATAGTTGGTTCCAAGGATGTTAAATAAAATGTTAAAACTATAAAATGAAATTTGAGGAAATCATAATGAAACATTTATGAGTACTATGAATGGGGGTGAGGACACTGTCTATGCTTGGAAGCAATTAGAAGAAAGAAAAACTTCAGCATATTTTGATTATCTGCAATTAAAATCCTGTTAACATAAAAAAAAAGTCATATAAACTAAGATAAATTATTTCCAGATGAAATAATTATCTACCTCAAAAACTCAAAAGTCAAATGAATGCCTGTTAGAACTAGAGTTTTATTATAAAATATATTTATAAAAGTCAGCACCTTTTATAAATGCTAGTCATAACTAGATAGACTATATAAAGGAATAAATTACCTTAGATACATTGACAATGAAAATATAAAATATCTGAGATTAAACTTAACAAGGACCTACATGAAGAAAAGTTCAAAAGTTTACTGAGGAACCTAGGAGGGACCTTCCTATATGGAGAAATACTTGTCCTGTCAGAAGACAATACTGTAATTTATGTCAGTTTTCCCCCAATTAATTTATAAATAGAATGTAATTCTAATCAGAATTATAGAAGTATTCTTTTGGAACAAAGTTATTCTGAAGTTTATCTAAGAGGTAAAATGTTGAAGAATAGCTAAAATAATTTTAAAGATCAATAGAAGGAGGTGTCAGATACCAAAATGTACTATAATAAAGCTATAATCATTAAAATATGGTGGTACTGATGGAAGCCAGATCAAGGGAACTCAGTAAAAAGCCTGGATACAAACCCGTTGGTTCATTATATGATAAAGGTGGTGTTTCCTGTCAGTGAGGAAAGGATGGCCTAGTCAATAAGTAATAATGACAACAAATTCTTATGAAGCATTCCTTATATTTAATCTGTACAATCCTGCGAGATAGATATTATTATTATTCTCCTTGACTAACCTTCCCCAAATTACAGTTGAATTAGGAGTAAAGCACAAGAAGTCTGGCTCAGAGTCTAAGCTCTAAACAACTAGATTTCTTCTGTAATCATTGGCATTAATATTGACTCTGGAAAAAAATAAAATAAAATGAGATCCCTTCCTGATACAGCACATTGAAAGAACTTACGATGGATGAACATTAAAATACATTTCAGATGGATTAAAGAGTTAAATGTTCAAAATGATATCTTAAAAGAATTAGAAGAAAAACTACGTATACTCATTGGTAATGATAATAATAGTGAAAATGATTGTAGATAACATTTCCTGAGAGCTTAAGTGTTGGACTCTGCACAAATGCTTACTATTTCTGCCTGTTATATTAATAAGTTTAAACGTTACAATCATCAATTCTGGTACGACTGTAGTAAAAACAGCACCCTCAACTATTTCAGAAAATATTAAGAGTTGATAAAAACCTTTTAGGAAGCACTTTGAAATGCATTACAAGGCCTTTAAACTATGTATTTTTTTTTAATGAGCTCAGTGTGGTTAAAAAAAAACAACAAAAAAAACTACCTTGTTATTTGCTCACAATAAATGTTGACTGAACTGTTCACTCTGTATTCTGACCCAATTATTCTATTTCAAAGAATCTAGTCCTAAATGTGAAACCTTTATTCACAAGTATATTCATCTCAACATTTTTTGTGAGAATCAAACAATTAGCACCAATGTGAAGTGCATAATAGGGATATGGTTAACTACACACTGCAGTGGAATATGCAGCCGTAAAAAATATCTTAAAAGTTCATGTAATGATGGAAACATTTACCAACGAATGGTGTGAAATAAAAAGATGAAAATATATTACTTCTTTGTTTGGTACGATTATAACCATGTAAAACTGTTCACTCTTCTATCAACCAAATGCAATGTGTGTACCTTGTTGGAATCCCGATTTGAATAAACCAGCTCTGTACACACACACACACACACACACACACACACACACACACACACACACACACACACACACTTTTTGAAACAACCAGAGAAATTTGAACATAGATTAGCTATTAGATATTAATGAACTATTGTTTTTTTAGATGTAATAAGGCATTGCGGTTACATAAATACACGCACACTTCATCAATTACTTTGTTAGATTCATGCTGACATATAGTAGATAGAAAGATATGTCCGGTACTTGCTTTTAAATACTCCAGCAAAAAGACGTGGTGGGAGACATATGAAACGAGATTAGTTATGAGCTGACCATTGCTGAAGCTGAATAATAGGTATATGAGAGTACATTATTCTAGTCTCCTTTTGTGTTTGTTTGAAATTTTTCCACAGTAAAAAGTTAAAGAGAATGGAAAAAGAATGAAAGTACCAAAGGCAAGGAACAATTGTTTATGCTTAGGGAAAAAAAGATTAAAGAAGTACAGGAAAGTATAGGTTATGTTCAGGTACTTTTTCATGATGTAATTCCACTCAGTATTTATCCTGAGACTAAACTTTTTTCAAAAAGGAAAATATGTACCCTTGAAGATGATTTTAAGAATGTGCATAATAGCAATAATAATAATATGATCATGGTGATATCTATCATGCCCAACAGCTAGAGAATAGCTAAATAATATTGTCTCTAATCAGGAATGTTAGGTAACCATGTAAAAAAATAATGAAGAGTGAATTGCAACATAAAAAATACCATTAATTTATTCTAAATAAAATTATTTCATATTTGAATATGTATGAATTATGAAAGAGAATATGCAAAAATGAAATAGTCATGCACCGTTTAATGATGTTTCAATGACAGACCCCATATAAGATGTTAGTCCCATAAAATTATAATGGAGTTAAAAATTCCAGTCACTTAGGGATATAACAGCCATTGTAGTGCAATGCATTACTCATGTAGGAGCAATAGTCTATACCATATTGCCTAGGTGTGCAGTAGGCCATACTATCTAGGTTTGTGTAAGTACACTTAACGATGTTCACATGATGAAATTGGTGTTATAACACTGCGCTCTAAGCAACTGAGCTAACCGGTCAGCCTTTTACAGAACATATCCCCTTAATTAGGCAATGGGGACATGCTCTAAGGTGATTATATTTCTTCTAATGTTGCTATACTATTTATCTGACTTAAAAAATAAGGCAATATAAATATGTCAGGCACAGAAATAATAGTAATGTATCAATAATGTAATGAAAATGGAAAGTTAAGACAGGTATAGAACACATTTGAGTTAATATTAGGGAAATCAATGAAGTGTTCTTTTGTATCCTAATCTCTCATTCCCTATCACTCCCACCCCAAATAAGCAAGCATTAATTAGGTTTTATCTGATACATCTTTCTTAAATAGCTGGTCATTAATTTTTCTTTTCCTGTTAGTGATTTTTACAGAATTAAGTAAAACTAGAGTTCAATATTTATTGAGCATCTACTCTGTGTCAGGCAGGCTATTAAGTGCTGAAGAATCAAAGGTGAATCACAAGAAATAAAGAAATTATACTAGAGGAAACTAAACACAACGAGCTATTACATATTATGATAGGCATAGATACATGATCAAAAATATTCTATAAAGAGGAAGTGTATAACTCTCCTTAAGAGAAGAAGTTAAGGGACATGAGAAATGGGCAAGGAGATGAACTCCAGAAAGATGATGCCAAGTGCTGCTTCAGCTACTTAACTGGAATTTACAAATGAGGAAGGGTGAAGTGTTTCACATCAGTGCTTCTCAAACTTTAATGTGCACACAAATTACTTGAGGGATTTTGCTAGAATACAGATTCTGATTCAAGTCTGGAATGGGGCCTGAGATTTTGCATTTCTAACAAGGGTCCAGGTGATTCAAATGCTGTTGGCACATACTGAGTAACAAGGCTTTAAATAATGGGAACAAACACATGCCCTGTCATGAAAACATGAAACAGTGTGTAATGTGTTCAAGTACCTACAGACAGGTTGGTATACCTGTAGGGTAAATTGTGTGAAGGTAAGTAGACAGATCTGTGCCTTGACACAGAGCTTGGATTTATCCTGTACTATCCATTAGATTTTGCAATTACTGACTTCAGGCAACACAGAAATAGTGAAATGTCAAATTGTAGTGGGTAGAAGAATTAATATAAGATTAGTCTCATCATGAGGAAATACAAGACAAAACCAATTTAAAGGCCTGTACTTATCAAAATATTCAAGGTTATGAAATACAAGGAAGACAGTGGAACTGTTTAAAATACAAGACTTTAAAAGATACCTGACAATTGAATGCAATAAGTGATCAGAATTTTCTATAAAGAACATTATAGGGATAATTGGTGAAATTTGAATAAAGTCTATATATTAGCTAATAGTATTTCTTGATTTTGACAGTTGTAAAAATCTATGGCTATGTAAAATAATAACCTTGCTTTTGAGAAATATACATTGATATATTTAGGGGTGATGTGACATCATTTCAGCAATTTAATTTCACTTGAGTTTAGGGCAAATGCGATAAAATGTTAACATTTGGGGAAAATGAAATGAAATGGATAGAGGAACAATAGCATCATAATTAACAAAAACCAGCCACAAAGCATACCTATAGTGCTAAAACAGCCTCCTAATCAATTTTTATTTCAATCACTGTAGCTAGTGACCTTTTCAAAATGCGAATCTAATTACATCACACTTGATTCCCAGCCCCACCCCTCTGAAACATTTGAGGGGGAATATCCTTATCAGAGGATGTCTAAAGTCCTACCTACACAGGCTGGCTCCTGACTGCTCAGTTCTTTCTCACCATGCTCCCTTACTCTACATTACACAACTGCTGTTCAGTTCCCAAAGTTGTCGTGCTCCCTGCTGCCTTGGACTGTTGCACAGGCTATTCTCTCTTCCTGCCTCTAGCCCATCAGTTATTTCTATTCACATTTGAAATCTTACCACTTCATCTGGGGAAGCCTTTCCTAGAGTTCTCACTAGTTCTGTATAATACAATATCTCAATATCACGTACTTCTTTCTAGCACTCATTACAGTTGCATTCTTTGAGATAATGCTTGTAAAGAGCTGGTTTTGCTCACCATTGTGTCCCTAGGGTTTAGAATAGTGCTTGTCATGTAATTGGTTCTCTACAAAGTGACTCACTGCGTAAATAAATGCAAGGGAAGGAAAGAGAGAAAGGAAATATGAGAGATGCTGTGTCAAGGTGTAGTGTTTCAAAATGGACTCTAAGAATTTGGGAGAGGCTGGGAGGGTTATCATCAATAGCATCTGTGAAGAGAATGTGCAGACTAAATTGTCATACATTTCCTACTGTTTTAGGAGTCCATTAAAACCTTAAAAGACACTAAAGAATTTGAAGGAAAATGATAGTGAAGAAAACACTTGAATACAATTTTGTGAAAAACATCACCTTTTGTGAAAGTTAAGATTCCTTCACAAAGTCTGGTGTGCTTTTAGAAGACAAGGGGAGTGGTGAATTGTTCGCAGAAGATAATAGAAGGGTGAATTGTCTGGTATTTGCTCAAATTACTGCAGCAAAATGTTCCCATTAAAGGTGGGAACTAACTTTTTAAACACCTACAAGTGCATTTTAAAATCTCTCACAATTCTAGTTGCCCTTTTTAAAACATGAGTTTAGAATTACTCCTGCTATCTTGTTTTGTTTTCTTTTTAGCATCTTTCTCTTTTTCTGGGTGGTGGGAAATCTGGGGGCCATCTTAGAACTCCCTGATCTCTGTAAAATCATCGTCATTTTCTACATCTAGCTTTTATGTCAGTCTGATTCTCATTCCTTTGCAGTCATATTTTTATCCCTTCTCTTGTAACTTTTAGGATATCTTCATCTGTGGTGTGCTACACAATTATTATTTCATTTGCTGTTTGATATTCAAGTGAGTTCTTTGAAATCTTAGGGTTAATGTTAATGATTCCGGAAAAAAAAAATGTGGCTATCATTTCTTCAAACAGGGCCTTCCCTTCATCCTCTTTACCCTGCTACCCCATTTTGGTTTGTCTTTTTTTCTTCTTCATATTTTCCATCACTTTATTCTGTCAAGTTGTGGAACTCCTCTTCCAGCCTGCAATTTTGATTTTCTGCTGTGTCCATTCTGGCAGTCTAGTGATGATTTTGTTTTTAAATTTGAACAATCTTAATTTCCACTTGAGATTTCTGTAGAGGGGCCTTTGCATGTTCCTCTTGGCAATATTGTTTTAAAGACCTGTTAATCTGTATTCTGTGAATGCTCCATTAACGATTTCTTGAGATGGTTCTTCCACTTGTTTGTTGGACCTCTTTTTTGTTTTACAGTGTTGGTATTTATCTTTGAAGCTGATATTCACTGTTAAGACTGTTCTCCACTGCTGTTTATGGGACCATTTTGATGAGCAGGGTAGAGATTTACACTCTTCACTATTTTCAGATAGTTGGATATGGGCAGGATGTTTCAAAGTTTCACTTGGTACTTCACTTGGTATTACACTCATCTGTCCAATCATCCATTTCTCTGCCCAAATCTCTGATTTTGTTACCTATCAAGACAGATAATCTCATTAAATAGCCTGGCTGAAGTACTGGCATGTGCAGTCAATATATCAGTTGCTCCACATAACTGTTCCATGTCCTGTTCCCAGTTTTTATCTCCTCCAGGTCTAGGGCACCTTTAGTGTTGATCACACATTTTCATGGAAGTACTTGCCCATGTGCTTCTGCTCTGGGTTTCTTCTTCAGTCACATTCCATATCATTAGTCTTTCAGAGATTCCCCACAACTTCTGCTTCACTTACAAGTTACCCTTTTTTCTTACAAGTGTAGATGTACATATCCATGCATGTGCCTGGGTCTAAAATTTTCTCTATCATTTTTAGGGTGCTTTGCCATCTTGAAACCAGATTCGTGGTCACTATTGGTAGGATATGCCCTTTATTTCAGTGAAAAAGTTTGGTGCTTCAGCCTACATGTTGCTTTTCCATTCTTCTCCACATCTCCAAACTCTTCAAAAAAGAAGCCTATTTGGTTATTAACACAGTACTGGAAATACGGGGTTCAAATAGACAATAATCATGACAATAAAGCTAACATTTATTGAACACCTATCATGTCAGACACCCTTTTACTAAGCAGGAATTAACTCATTTAATTCTCATAACCCCAAGATAGCTGCTATTATCTCTATTTTACGGATGAGACAACTGAGTTACAGAGATATTAAATAACTAATTCATTGTTTTTAAAAAGTGAGTCACGTTTTCATTGGTGCTTGTCACTGTCAGAGGTGGATAAAATCTGGTTCTTGCTCTCAGAGTCCCAGTCTGTTGTGACCCTAGTGAATCTTTCTTGGTCCTGAATTATTTCCAGATCTAAGAGTAAGCAAGTACTAACTTTAGGATTCAAATCATATTCAGCCAAGATTTACAGATCTGAACTTTATGAACAGATCGCCTTCCCTTTTAATCCACTTCAAAAAATGGAACAAATATAGGAAATTGTGCATTTCCTGAGGATGTTTTTAAGAAACCCTATTCCAGGTATTTCTAGTTTGAATTTTTCCATCTGGGTACTTTAGTATTTCATTATATGTAATTTTGAACTGGTATCTTAAAATTATGCACTGTTACAGATAAAAAAGTTAACATGTTCATTATCTGTATGTTAAGGAATTAAAACTTCACATTTCCTTTCTTTTCATTTGTTTTAGTACATAGTAATTCTCTGAATCAAAGGAGAAATGGATATTTACCGACATATAAGCCTCAAATAAGGTCAGAATCTTCTGCACAACTGTTACAGGGAAGAAAGAAAAGACATTTGAGTGAAACAGCATTAGGTAGGTTAAAATGAGGGTATGATTACCAGTGCTAAATATTGAAAATAAAAAAATTCTGATCTTCAAAGAACCCCTGTCTCATAGGAGTTCATAATACAGAACAGTCACTAATTACAAAACATCTATGACCCTATGAACATTAAACAGCATGTGCCTGGAGTTCATTCACGATTGTGGACTGGGTATCTATCCACTTTACGGCAGTCAGTTATTTCTTTCCTATGTTCTTTCACCAGTTGTCTTCTACCAGTTGTCCCCTGGACAGGATTTAGTCTCCATGGTTGTGTTCTGGACTCAGAATAACGTTAGTACAAAGTTAACTTACAGAAATTTATTACCATTACTGGTACCAACTGTGGAAGTGTGGATTCACTGTAGATTTCTCAGGATTTTGAGAAATTGGCCAAGATTCAACTCAACTACCCTGTTCTGTTCTTCTTAGGAATCCATAAATTTACAGATCCAAGAAGATCAAGAGATATCTTTGGAACTAGAACTCTTCTAGTAGTACAAAGTGGGATTTGTTGAGGGGATTTGGGACAAAATAATTGCCATAGTTATTGCTAATGATACATGAAACTTAACTGGCAAGACATATTTTGAATAGCAAATTATCTACATACTCTTTTGGTTCTTGTTCTTTGTTCCAGTGGATATAACACAATATACATTAGTCAAGTATTCTCCAGATGTAATATTCAATAACACACCTAATAAATTAGAAACCACATCCAAGATGTGCTGCACTATAATTACACACAGTGGATTTAACACATTTATATATAGTGTCTTTAGAAATCCCACCATAATAGACCAAGTCACTGCCTGATAATGACTACCTGATCAACTACAGTGTGGCACAAAATTGACAAACTCCCACACATGTTCAGAGGTTTCATTATGCTTTTCAGTGTCACACTCTTGACAGAATCAAGGATCACATAGCTTTTGATGAACTTTCATACATGCATACCAAAGCATAGGAAAACTTTTTTTGACCTCTTAATAAGATGCATTATGAAATACATGTTAACTAAGATGTAAAATGTTTCATTTGAATTGATACTTTAGATCTAACTTTGAGTTTGATGGAATACAGGGTTGAAGAACAAATGAAATGATATACTACAAAGAAATAACTAGTTAATTCTGAAAGTGCAGGACATCTGGTCTAGTCCCTTAAACAAGTCAATGTCATGAAAAATGAACTGTTCTGTATTATAAGAAACCTAGGAGACAATAGCCAATTTCAATATGTAGATCCTGATTTAAAGAAACTAGCCATAAACAAAACTTTTTAACAACTGGGGAAATGGATGACAAGGGTATTAGATTTTACATTGTACAGGAAAGTATTCTTATTTTTTAAGATTCATACTAAAATAAAATAAGTGAACAAATAAATATATAAATATACACTTACAAATAGGGAACCAAAACAAACAGAAAAAAAGGAACTTGGAGGAAACAGATATTACCAATAGAAGTAAACTTCTAATCAGTAGCCTAAGAGAAATCCATAACCGAAGAATGGGATGCTATAAAAATAAATACCAGAGAACAAGAACTTTTATAAATTAGTACTTTAATAGTAGGAATTTTTCAAAAATCTATAAACTGTTCAGAAGATCAAGTTAAAGAAACCTCACAAAAAGTAGAACAGAAAGTCAAAAGTTTTGAAAAAATGAGAATAGGTAAGAAAATCAAGATCAGTCCTGGCAGTTCAACCTCTGACAGGAGTTACAGAAAACAAGAATAAAGGGACAGTGTTTTAGTCCATTTGTGTTGCTATAACAGAAATACCTGAGACTGGGAATTTATAAAGAACAGTTATTTGGCTTATGATTCTGGGACAGCTGCATCTGGCACAGGACTCGGGCCACTTCTACTCATGGCGGAAAGTGGCAGGCAGCCAGTGGGTACAAGCAGATCACATGGTGAGAGGAACCAAGAGAGAGGAAGCAAGAGAGAGAGAGAGAGGAGGTGCCAGGGTCCTATAAACAACAAGCTCTCACGGGAACTAATAGAGCGAGAACTCACTCATTAATCCCCCCTCCCCCAGGGAGAGCATTAATCTTTTCATGAGGGATCCACCCTCATGACTCAATCAGTTTTCAACACTGCCACAATGGGGACCAAATATCCATATGAGTTTTGGCAGGGACAACATATCCAAACTCCATCAGAGGGAATGGAATTATTCAAGAAAAAAATATGAAATGTATTGGATAAAAACTGCTAAGACCACAGAAAATGGAAAGACTAGTGGCAGAACTGTGGGTTACTCTTCTTTTTTCATTTCCTCCCCACTGCCACCAGCGATAGGAGTACTTCAAAAAGTCCGTTGAAAAACAGAATTAGAAGATAACATGAATCTTGCATGAAATTTTTAAAGACCTCTAGTACATGAATTTTAAAAAATCAATATGGTAGTATTGTGTAGATATACCACATTTTTATTGTGTAGATATACCACATTTTTCTTATCCACTCATCCAATGATGGACATTTAGGCTGGTTCCAACTCTTGGCTATTGTAAATAGCACTGCAATAAATATGGGAGTACAGATATCTCTTCGACATGATTTCCATTCCTTTGGGTTTATTCCCAGCAGTGGGATAGCTGGGTCATATGGTAGATCTAACTGTAGCTGTTTGAAGAACCTCCATACCATTTTCCATAATGCATCATTTTGCAGTCCCACCAACAGTGTAGGAGGGTTCCCTTTTCTCCACATCCTTGTCAGCATTTATTATTCTCAGTCTTTTGGATATTAGCCATCCTAACTGGAGTGAAATGATATCTCAACTCTGCTGTAAAAAAAGAATGCAATACTACCATTCACAGCAACATGGATGGACTTAGAGAAAATTATATTAAGTGAAATAAGCCAGTCACAGAAAGAGAAATACCACATGTTCTCACTTATATGTGGGAACTAATAAAAATAAATAAATTTACAAATAAACGGGTAAAAAGAAACACAACAATCACAACAATCCTTGAACTTGTTAAGATAAGTGAATACATATGATGATGGGGGAGGGGAAGAGAAGGAGGGGGAAAAGGAGGAATTGGTAAAGGGGCACAAAAATCAACTATACTGTATATTGATAAATTCTTTAAAAACTTTTTTTTAAATGAGAAAAAAATTTTATCAGTTGGAAGAAAACTAAATCTTCAATATTAAAAACAAGTCTGTGAGCAAAAATTACTGTCCAGTCACCCTCTGGGTCAAGGCACTGTCTAAATAGAACTTTCTGTGATGATGGAAATGTTCTCTATCTGTGCTGTCCGAATAGAGTAGCCAGTAGTCACAAAGGTGACTATTCAAATTTAAATGAACTAAAATTCAATTAAATTAACAATTCAGTCACAGTAAAAAAAAAAAAAAAAAAAAAGGAATAGTTGTTTTTATCTATATTGATACAAATATTAAATTACTCAGACATAAAAACACAGGAAACTGCATATCCACACAAAAACATCGATGGATGAATAAAACATTCTTATGAGCAAGAGATGGACTTTGAAGTCTACATTGTTATCTCACTTTTATAAATTTCAAGAATTTGCCAAACTGATGTCTGTTAATAGAAATCAAAACAATCTGCACATGGTGAGGTGCTTGGGTATTAATTGGAAATTTACATGAAGCATGGAGGCATTTTTATGGGTGTTGAACATGAGTCATACACCGACAGTGTTGTTGGATACTGTAGGAAGTAAAATATTTTTAAAATTTATGAAGCATATATATGATTGCATGTTGAAAAAAAATCAACAGATAAGGAATCAATCACCTGTCACCTAATGAGAAAAATAATTCTAATAATACCTGTTGTTCATGTTTAATGTTTGACATTCTCAGTGGTTCCTTCTATGGCAGGAGAAAGAACCAGACTTGAAGAATTTGCTTTTCAACATTCAGAACCAGGATCCCATAGCAATTTTACTGCTGTTTCTAACGTCATTATACCAAGAACCCAGAATGCATCATCACAAGTAAGTTTTTTCTGTATATTCAACTCTAAAATTGCTTTACAGAGTTTTAAAATAAAACCAGCTGATTTTTTTAAGTATCTTGCTAATCTATAACAGCCTTATTCATCAGCACATATTGGCACATTCAGAACTATCCTATTAGGAAACAATAAATTTGCTTCAATAGGACTTTTTTTCACTAGGAAGTTAACAGTTCATTAATCTCCGGTTACTTTTTTTTCTGTCTTAAAAACTTAGTTATCATGACTATCTCTACTCCTTAACATATAAAGCTAAATGTAGTCTTGCTTATGAGAATTCAGGACTTGTGTTCTTACTCTGGTTTTTTTGTTATCTAACCTGGCAGTAGAGGTCAAAAAATGAGAGGACTTAAAAATGAACAGTCTGGGGCCGGCCCGGTGGCGCACTGCGCTAGTGCACCGCTTGGGAAGCGCGGTGGCGCTCCTGCCGAGGGTTCGGATCCCACATACAGACCGGTTCCCGCTCACTGGCTGAGTGAGGCGAAAAAAAAAAAAAAAAAAAAAAAAAAAAAAAAAAAAAAAAAAATGAACAGTCTGATGCTCAGGGACCAGAAATATACAAATGAAGATTGTACTAATGATCTTTATAAAAGGGCTTACTGAAGAATATTTTATAGCTTTTCCTAATAAAAAGTGGGTTTGTTCAATGATCATTTCATTCACGTTCAGGGTGCTTTATAGTTTTATTTATTTAGGAAGCTGGCCAGTACAGGGATACAAACCCCTGACTCTGATGTTATCAGCATCACACTCTACCAAGTGAGCTAACGGTCAAGCCCCTAAGTTAGTCATTTTTGATAGGAAGTTTTGCATTTTTTTTTTTTTTTGTCTTTTGTCTTTTTTCCGTGTCCGGCAACGGATCGCAACCCTCAGTGTTGCCCCCGTACCGGACCGGGGACCGGCAACGGGATCGCAAGCCTCGGCGCTGCTCCCGCGCCTCGCTCAGCCAGTGAGCGGGAACCGGTCCGTATGTGGGATCCGAACCCTCGGACGGGAGCGCCGCCGCGCTTCCCAAGCGGCGCACTATCCAGTGCGCCACCGGGCCGGCCCAAGTTTTGCATTTTAAGGCATTACTATTTTTTATGGTCTCAAAAATAAGCATGTATATTTGTGCACGTAAGTATACATTACACACCTCCCAAGAGATTGTTTTGGTTTACAAAACATAGGTATACTTTCTTAGTTGGTTTTCGTAACATTTTATAGTCAGACTTTGTAACAATGTATTTACAAAAATTATGTAACAGGTGCACTGCCACATTTAAACTCATGAAAGGAAGATATCATCACAGGTAACTAGAAATGACTGTAAAACAATACTGTAATCCTGTTTTGCAGACTACTGCACGACGGAGATTAAGAAGTGAGAGCTCTTATGATATAGATAACATTGTGATTCCCATGTCATTAGTAGCCCCAGCGAAGTTAGAGAAACTCCAATATAAGGAAATACTTACTCCAAGGTATGTATACTTACATCTTTTTTTCTTTCTTCTTTACTTTAATAAATTTAAATTTTTGGAGTGAAGCTGGAATTTTAATTCATGAAAGAAGGATGTCCCCCACTTCCTTCCCTACTTGTACAGCCATGGAGGGAAAATTCATGTTGAAGAAAAAGTGCCATATATTATCACAACTTTATTTCTCAGTTTTTATAAAGAATTGGAAATCCTTAGACTGATTAACGTTAGTATTCTTAGAGGGTTTTTTTCATTCAATGATATTCAGGTACCTATTATGTATATGGCACTAAAAGGTACTTTAGTGATGTAAAAACTATAGCAACAAAATATCCTTGCCCTTAAAGACAGAAGTAAGCACAAGGTTGCAAAGAATTCAAAGAAAGTAACTACCTTTTCAAGGAGCATTCCCACTGTAAAACAGTAAACCTGTGACAAAAATTGAGATTTTGATGTATTACCAACTTATCAATAAACACATTAAATAAAAAGATGAGCTGGAAGATCTGAGAAGACATCCCTGAAGAAGGGAGAAGGTAGAGACAATATTTACAAAGGGAGACCACAACAATGGCACATGAACAAGTATGCAAGGCTTAGCCAGATACTGAGGTTTTGTGTAGGTTGATAAGGGGAGTTAGGACTGGAAACAGACTGTGGAGGTCCCTGAATGCCATACACAGATCTGCTTCCTACTGGCCCTGAAGCTGACCAAATATTTTAGCAATGATAAAAGCAGTTTCTTAATATGAGTATGTTACCGGGAGGTAGAAATAGAAAAGGCTGGAAACAAATAAGAGGTAGGCCACAACTACAGTTGATTCCTACCCATCTCTATTCTAACTTCATAATTCTTCTTGTTACTTTATAATTACTTTGAGGTACTGAGAAAACTCTAATACTCTGGGAGGTATTATGAGAACTTCTATGGAGAATCTGTCAATATTTTCTACATAAGTAAGGAATATCATTTATTAAATTCTACAAGCAACAATGTTTTTCACCTTGCAGCGTAGGCTGGAGCTAGCTGGTTGGGCTGGTTGTTATAAATATAGGAGAATTCTGTGAGCCAGTTGTTAAACTATTGGTAGCTCAAAAGGGGCCATAATATGCATTTTCACATCAAAGAAACTGGCAAACACTACAAGTCTTTTTTTTTTTTTTTTTTTGGCCAAGCCAGTTTATCAGCATACCATTACTTAATTCAAAGTCAGTAAATACTTATTACATATAAAATGCAGCTCTTCAGAAGAGACTGTTCACTGTAAGGCCAAAAGTAAAGCCTCATCTTCTCCTTGTTCTTTTCTCATAATACAAATGTTTTGCCTTTAAAAAACTAAAGGGTTAAAATACAATCATCTGAATTATGGAAGTCCCAAGAAAAGAAAATACTAACGTACTTTGCTGTGCTTAAAGAATAAAAATGCTACATTTAGATAGATTAATAAAAACTGTTTGAAACTGGTTTGTATCTTCAACAGCTGGAGGATGGTTGTTCTTCAGCCTTTGGATGAATGTAATTTAGGTGAAGAAGAGGTAAGCTGCCTTACATTAATGGGATAGTTGCAAGTTATGAAGTCTGCTTAATTTGACATTGAAGGAGCTAAAGGGAAACATAAACCCTTTAACTTCTACTGACTTTTTCTTTTCACTTATGAAAAGGATGTTAATTCAATTAGAAAAATGTTTCTGTGCAAATGACTGCAAAGTCAATAATGTATAAACATAAAGAATAAAGAAAAGCAAAAATAAAACATACCATTTGCTTATATGAGTTGTTGAGATGTTGAATTTATGTGAATATCTACATTCCTTCTCAATATTAATCATATTTTTCTGCATGAGGAGATTAGTCTTAATATTCAAGTCTATATTGCCATTTTCAAAATAATAGGGACAATTTGGCTTGTGAATTGAAAAATTTTGAACTTTGGAAAAGTAATGTGGCACACGTCATTTAATACTGATAGAGTCTAGGACAGTTCTTGTAATATTAATCAAACATTAATGTTTCTGTAGTAAAAAATTCAAAGTGAGATACTAAAAATAGCCTCACACCATTTCAGATCAGGCTGTGTCACCAAATGAAATTATAAGGAACTAGTTTTTTCAGATTTTTGGATTTTGGAATTGCAGGTAAGGGATTATGGACCTATATGGGTAAAATTACATTATGACAAGAACAATTTCAAGGAAAAATACTTTATAACCAAACTAATTCCAAGGTGATAGTCTCTAGAAGCAGTTTTATATAGAAGACACTAGGTTTCTGTCACATAACAATCTTTCTATGCCCAGTGGCCCTGTTTTTCAACCACTAAGATTTACCTTTTAATGCCCTTCCCTCTTCTAACATATTCTTGTCTAGTTCAGAATGATCCTAGCCTAGAAGTCCAAATTCTTAACACCATAACCAAAGCTGTAACCCAGGCTAGAACTACAGATACGTCATTCATTAAATTAATTCTGATTTATCTCAGATGATCAGTTTTCTCTTTGATGTTAACATGTTCCAAGAACAGTGTGCTCCATAACAGGCAATCAATAAAAATTCTGTTGAATGATTAAAACATTAGGACTATTTTATAAAAGCTGTGGCAAATGGAAAGCACTGTGAACCCATCTGTAATCTAAGTTTAGTCTTAAAACATAAACCAATAATAAAAAAAGTTTTTTAAAAAAGTTGACTCTCTTCTTCCAGAAATTTGAAGCTCATCTTATAACATTTGTTCTCTTAACTTACACAGAGAGCATTTATTTTAGTTTGCTTCCTATTGTTCTTTAGATGAAATATTTGAAACGTGTTCTCATATTTAAAAATGTTTCTGATAAAAGCAAAAGTTTTTATTTCTAATTCCAGATAGAAGACCTTTCTGATGAAGTCTTCTCCCTAAGACACAAAAAACACGAAGAGAGAGAGCAAGCCAGGTGGTCACTATGGGAACAAAGCAAGTGGCATAGAAGAAACAGCAGGCAGGTGTTATAAATTTACAACCCAAAACCATGGAATGCATGTGGAATGAACAAAGTTTCTGAATGAATTTTGGGGGAGACTACCAAAAAGGAAAACATAATAATGTAACATCAGCTATTTGTGCACTAGAGGTGAAACACTGAATATATTCTAAATATAACTGGGCTAATTACATGATGATGAAATCAGTTGCTGTATTTTATTGCACTCTATTCTTATGTTGTCAGCCGCAGGAATAGATTTAACTAGAAATTAATACGAAAATTCACTTTTTATATAAAGTAGGTCATTTCAATCTACTGTAACAGTGGACCTAACACTGGGGACTAGATTCAGTTAATCCAGTTTAATCATAACTACTTCAAAAATATTTTTCTTTAAAAAAATTTCTCAAGAAACCTGTCCAGTCTAAAAAGCAAATAATCTAATACTTTTAAAAACACAAAGACTTTGAGGGGAGAGTGTACAGATCATAGACATAATTAGTAATAACATATTTGAGAGAATCCCTGGTATTTTATATTTACATTTGGTTATTTTTATAAAGCCAAAACTCAAAAAGCAAGATCATGTGAAGTCTGGTAGTTACTTGAGGTAAGGGGTAGCTCTCATTTAATTAGTATCATTAAAATACATTTCTCTGTTTAGGTCTTAAGATTATCCAGATCTCTGTAGATCCTTGTTCCAAGATTTTTCCTAACATGAGAGATGTGAGATTCTGGAATTCTCATCTTTGTTCACATTCCAGGGACAACTTTCCAGAAGTACAGAAGAAAATGTGAATTGAGTCCTTAATGGATGATATTACAATAATTATAGAATTCCCTGGGAACTCAAAGATTGTAAGGGTCAAATAATTGCCCCTTCTTGTTTTCAAAAAACAAAAGCATACCAAATAAAACACTACTATAAGTTGGCAAAATATTTCATTTCATAGTTATCTGACCTTTTGAGATATGAAAATAATAGCATCAGGAAGATCACATGAACTTTTAAAAATCTGTTTAAATAAAAGCTACTAAGTTAACATGACTTAACGATAACTTAATGTTCATAAAATGTTAAGACCTCGAGAAATAACAAATAATTATATATTTTCTTTTCTTGTCAGAACTTACAGTAAAAATGTTGAAGGACAGGACTTGCTTTTGAAAGAATACCCTAATGACTCTAGTAGCAGTCAGCAATGCACTACTGAAAGTCCTCTTGAGTTTCCTTCAGAGAGCCAAGGTCTGTGTGCACAGGGCTCACCTTCTTTAAATGAAAGTCAAGAAATGAAGGTAAGTGTAATATATGACTAAACTTCTAAACTTTCTTTTAAATGCCTTTTAACTTTTTTTTACTTGTTTGTAGAAATTGCTTATTGCAAATTAAGTTTCATCGTTACATAAATTCGGTAAGACAATTCAGTAGAGAATGCTGGGTACAAATCAGGAGATCTGTATTCCAGTAGTCTAGTTCCATCACTAACTATAACCACTTTTTGTGTAACGTGTCAGTACCAATTTCCATCTACTCATTTATCTGCCAGGAAATGGGGACACCATCGATGTTTCCTCACAAAACAAATCTGATTAATGGAGAAAAGCACCTCGTACACACTAAATGTTAGCTGCTATTTCTCTTAATCCTCTTACAAAAGGTTTTTACTTGTTCCCCAGTAGATCCAGTCCCCACCTCAAGGTGAGAATTTTCTAACACTGCAGTACCCATAAAGTTTGTGCACCTTTCTTCATAAACAGATGTTGAAAAAGAAGAACCAGATCTAGAATGGAGAGAGTGGAGACTATAGAAATTAATAGGCAAGTTGTAGGAAGCTCAGGAAAGAAAAAGTCAATAGATATCTGTAATAATGATGGAATGAAAATGAAGATATTTAAGTAGAAGCAGATCAAACTTAATACTTTCCCAAAGTTCTCTTAGGCTGAAAATGAAGACCAATGCCCTATGACAGCATTTTCTCTTCTTGGCAGAGGCTGAGTAAAGCAATAATTCCCAAAGGTCACTTAATTCTCAGCACGTTCCATTTTGAGTTGAGATATTTAGGTCCAAATAAAAATTTGTACATTTATGTGCTAAAAGAACAGAATAACAGTAATTACAAAATTGACATTTACAGATTACTTGACGTGTGAATTTAAACAAAATAAATTAGTTGAAACTTAACTGAAAATGTTTCCCCTTTCAGTCTTTGTGCTGGGAACTACGGGCTTTTCCGCTGAAGGATGAAGACACAGCAGCCTTATTATACCAAGATGAAAAAAAGGATCAGATTGAAAGGTCAAACACAGCTTTCCATGATGAAATCTTTTGTACCAGTGCACCAGAGAATGTACACCATCCAAAAAAGCAGTCAGATGGAATGGAAGAGTATAAAACCTTTTGTCTAGGACTCACTAATGTTAAAAAATATAGGTGACAGGGAACAGGTTAAGAAAACTATGTAAGTGAAGTGAAGTGAAGACAGGAGGAAAAAAAGCCCTGTTCTGGATCTCTCACCACTCTGGTCACAATTCCAGAATCAGAGCATGTACTACTGCATGTATTAATCTTTTATTCTGTTTATGAAACAGGCAAGATAAGTCTCTTTTTCCTTCTTGAACCACAGGAGTAATTAGCTTTTCACCTACAGACAAGTGCTAGTCATTTGTGTTTATCATGCAAATTACAAGCACCAAGATATTAACTGCTGCAATTTTATGTCAAATCATATTAGTGGGTAATTTTTAAGACTATAAACCCACACATACATACATATATATACACACACAAACCTGTGTGTCAGATGACAGCTGTTCTTTTTCCTATACACATGGTAATTCATTGAAATTGCCTCTGAAATATATTAGAATATACAAATACTTGTGTATAGAATATATCACATATGCACACACATACATAGTTTTTAAAAAAACACTGTCAATGACTCACTCCACTTGAATATGTATGTATGAACTACCCTATGAAAATATAAACTGCAGTGTATATAAAGCGTGGGTTTCCACTGATAAAAGATATCTAAAAGTCTTGACCATGGAGAGGGAGGGTTTTTTTGTTTTTTTTTTTAACATGTTTAACCAATAGTAGAAGTTATTTATGGAAACTGTTACACAAGATAACACAATACTCCTTTTTTCGAAATCACTGGTATCTGTTAGACTAACGCCTAACAGAATAAGACAAGGAAATTAGAATTAAATATTGATTCATTTTAAATCTATCACATCTTTGGAAACTCAACTTGCATTTTATCTACTTTATGTATCTTAGAAAGACAAGACACCAATTTAAAATGAGCAACAAACAGAAAAGTCCCATCAGTCTAAAATTTTTTAAATGGTTGTATTTCTAGCTAACTAGCTAGAAATTAGTAATTCTTGCTAGAATTAGTAATTAAATGGAATTACTAATTGCTAGCTAATGTAGAAATATTGCATATTTCTAGCTAATTTGGTCATTCCTTGCCATAGCTTATTCTATTCAAAGGAACATCTATTCTTACTTGCATCCTAGATTGAGAATTAAATTTTTTCAAATTTTTAAAATGAAAAGTGTACATTCAGGAAAATTCCTTTTGAAGCTACTATACCATTTTTTCCTATATGAAAGTTGAGGAAAATTTATATGAATCACTTTTTGTCATATAAAAAAGATTAGTCAAGTTGTAGTGCCCATATACGTGAAAATCCTGGCCATCTGGCCTAGTCTGTGGGATTTGACACTAAGTTTTTGTTAGGGACTGGAAACTGGTCCCTTTAAAGGGGGGAAAAATTCAAATTCAGTACTGACAAACTTTTGCTTGTAGTTTTACTGTACATTTATTTTTAAAGAAAAAGAAAACAAAAGCCAGACAAACTCAAGTTGTCCAGGCAAATAAACTCAAATCTTTGTTACGTCTGATATTATAATCTTCTATGTAAATTTTTTAATTAAAGTTATTTCTAAATGCCTTGTGTTGTTTGATTTGATCAAATGCCACCTATTCACGACACAAACCTTTCCTAAGCCAAAATAAAAACAAACATTGAGAAACAAATTGTAGTATAGGAAAAAGCTAAGCAAGCTCTATTCTGTACACGTTAACATTCTTATTTTTCGAAACTTATTTCTCAAAACTCACAGGAGCTTCAACAAGTTTAATGATACTGGTCCTATTATTTCTTGCCATATTTATTACATAGCAAGAGTATTTACAAGATGAAGTAGCTGACATTATTTGTAGTCTCTGTATAATTTAGAACACAGTTATCAATATTTAGTTTATGGGTTAACTCTGTACCCTGTCACCTCTTAGCCTACCTGGTCTTTCTTGGAATAAAGTATACATCCTTGAGGTCAAGATCCATAGTTCCAGAATATTCTCAGCCATCTGGTTCTGCTACAGGTTAAAATCAGATGAAATAAGACAATGTTAAGTAAAAGAAGCTTCTTTTGTCTAACATACCTCCCAAAGGCTCCATTTGTAAAAAGAGAACAGACCAGAAATCCTATGCTTTACTGGATCCTTTCTATGGTACCAGCCTATTGCTGAACTTTAATTTCTTCATTTGTAAGATGGGGACAAAAATTCCTGTCCTACAACTTACAGGAGTGATTTATAGATTTACTGAGACTACAAGAAAATACTTTATAACTCACAAAACTTAAATTTATATAATGCTAGCCACTTTGTATCGAGCATCCTCTAATCGAGGAACAGTACTGGAAGCATTACATATATGTTACCTCTTTTAATCCTCAACACAACTCTGCATGGTTGTGATGATTACATTCAACATATAAACGAGTTATCAGAACTGCAACAAAGTGAAAAAAAGTTGCTAAGGTCAAATAGGCTACAAAGGGGGCAGAGTCAGGATTCTACCCAATATTACTTCCAAATACAGGCTTCCTCTTCCTTTCTACTCAGAGTTAACACAGCAGCATTATTTAATGTCTTTAAGACTAGTGAGTGAGATTAAGAAACCCAGGGGTGGGGAGGAATCAACGAATAACCTGCTCAAAGAAAACACTGATAAAATCCATGCTTGAATTTTAGAACCCTTGGGCTTCATACATTGTTTTTATAGCCTTTATGAATCAAGTATAAAGTGAAAAGTGAAAAATAAAAATTTCAGATGCAATAATATGGTATGCCAACCCACACAAACATATTTTTAAGTTCCAGTCTACTCATATTATCAAGCGTAAAAACAAATCACAACTGACACAAAATAAGAAAAACATAGGACTTCCTCTGATTTTGGAAAAACAGCAAAATATTCTGTTTTGAAATACAGAAAGTTTTTTTCATAGTAGCTACTATGCCCTCCTTAGGCATTAAGACATATTTCTGTTTCTAACTTTAATATAGCCGTATTTTTACTCTTTATAAAAATTAAGTCTCCCAGTAAAAACAGGGTATTTCGCACTAATTTTTAAATTGCATCTCTAAAAATGTAGTTATACACACCAATTTCTAACCTCTTAGAACATTCTGCACAATAGATTTTAATTAGTGGAATGAATAATTGCTCAGAAAAGCAGCACTGCCTCAACTGCAATATTATTTGGTAGTCAATATTACTGTTTTCTAGTAAACGAAGATTTCATGAGCAGAAAACATTGCGCTCCTTGTGGTTTCATCGATCAAGAGAACGTTTCTGAGCGGCTTCTGAGCAAACATTTCTTAACAGGTTGATCACAGATCTCGGGTCTTCACTCCTCATAATGGCACTGCCAGACACAATCATGTTAGCTCCTGCCTGGAAGAAGTAAACATTTAGGTTATGCCTCAAAGGAAGATGCAGAAGAGCCTAAAACAGAATTCCTGGACTAGAGTTTCTACCCTTGCATCTGTCAACACTTTATCTGTACAAAAGCTGCTTTGAGAAAAGCAGACTTAAGCAATATAAATCAATGAGGAAAGAAGTTAAAATGTTCACAAATGAGCACATGAAATTATTTTTAAATGTGTCTAAGAAATCATCGAACTTTTTGGTAAACCAACTCTAGATAAACTATGCGGTATCTTTGCTAATATTTATATAAGGTTTAAAACCCTTTAATCCTCAATTCTATAAAGGTATTTTCCAATATATACCACTGCCTTCACAGATACAAAAAAAAAATACTTTTAATATTTGAATTATTTACATAAGTTTGAGATAGTCTGAAAGGACAAATATTGCTAAATTGTGAAACTATCCATATATATGGCAACATCAAGTTGAAATAATTTCTCATTTTTATGTCAGATGCTTCACTGCATTCCAGAATGGTCTTGAGGTGGCTTAAAAAAGATTTTTAAGACAATATTTTTAATGTGAAAACAAATCAAAAAGAAAAGCAAATAAGATGGGTCCAAATTTAGCTCTGAGCTTCTGAGGATTTGACTCAGGAAACTCACTCTGTTATGTGATTCACTGCTAAAAGAAAGGGTGAGAAGGGAGAGAACCACAGACAGAAAAATTTCTCCAATGAGACGCTGTCACTTTTGACAGAGCATTACACCTCCAACAACATTTTTCACAGAAATTATAAAATGAGTTTTACAGGGTTACCACTTAACATGTCTCTTCATTTAAGCAGGAATAGCATTACAGCAAAGCACAGTTCAGTAAAAAGCCATACCACAAGGCCTCAAAAGGATATGTGCTCACTACTAATCATCTGGCCAGCCCCTCTTCCATAAACCTATCACTGCCAAACAGTGATAGGTATGTATCAAGCCGGTAAGTTATACAAGTTGGAAGTGAATATACATTGCACTGCTGAACAAAAGCACGCCATGTAAGCTCTAATCACCCACAGTGGTACAGGAAGTGCTGACATCCTCTTACGAAGCTCAAGTGCCTAAGCTAAGCTAGCAACCTGAAGGAGGAAAAAAAACCAAACAAACAACAACTTATATCACATCTACATAGAGGGCCAAAGGGGTGTTTAGATAGGGCCAAACTGGTATCAGGCCTAAATTTTCATCAAAAAATGGTCCAGTCAGTTGTCAGAAGGGACAATTTAACTAATACACCTAGGTTCTAAAGAAAAACATAACAAGGAGGTATCTTTTCTTCTCTATTTTAGAAAAATTTCTCACTCCAAGACTCTGGTATTTAATGATCTTCCAAAGGGCTGGCATTCAATATACTTTTTTCAAAAAAGAACTTTCTTCATCATTATTGAGATAACCAGAATTTACTATTTAACAATTTATGTGATTTTAGAATATTCACTTATTGTTTTTAATTTTAATAATTCTGCTTTTGAACAAAAAACACTTTTCCAAGAAAGAAAGTCAATTTAAGAAATGTAAGGGATATCTCTTTGGCCCAGAATACAATGTCCTGGAGATTATATTTGACATAAAATTGGTCTAATCACAGTGGAGCAGCAGTCTCACCTCCGCACATTTATGGACAGTGTCGGGACCTACTCCACCATCGACCTCTATATCCAAAGATGGGAACTGGGTCCTCAACCAGTGAACCTAGATATACATGAGGAAATAAGTAACTCCTAAAGTGGATATGTGGGGGAAAAAAACAACCAAAAAATCAAACAGACAATATTAGCCATTAAAACTCCAAATGTCTCCAATAGTATCTATATCAATACAAAACATTATTGGGGAAAACTTGCTTTTTAATGTGCTGAAACAAATTAAGTTTTATAAAACAAGCTTTGTTTTGTTTGGCAAGTGGTGTTAAATTTGTCATGGCTTTGCAGAGATTATACTTCATGGAAACAAGATAAAGACAAATGTTCATTATTTGATGAAAACTCTTAAGAGATCTAAAGGTTACAGAGATAACAGTTTCAAAACAGGATTTCAAGATAAAGGTGTAATATCTTTTCTGATTTCCAAAATCTAACTCAGTGTTTATCATACTGTATCACAATGATGTGTAGGCATCCCTGTCTCCTCACCTTTGGAACAGGACGTGTAAATACGTCTTGTTACTATATGCTTACTGAGTGAACACATAAAAGCCTCAACCAGAATCAATTACTTCTTTTACCTTTGGCATCATATCTTCCATGAATTTCTGCCCTCCAAACCCAGGTTCCACCGTCATAACCAAGGCCATATCTATTTGGTTAGCCCATGGTGCCAAATACTCAACCGTAGTTCCTGGTTTGATGGCAAGGCCAACCTGTAACAGAGACAAATTTGCTGCATCACATTAACAATTATTTCCATATTATATTATTGTGGCATATGAGGCCCGGTAGAAATATCTATTCTTATAAAAAGGTTCCAAAAGGCAGTAACTTTTAGAAAACATTAACAGAATATATAAATCCTATCTGACAAACTCTGGCTTCATAGCAGAAGAACAGCTGCTTATGCCAGGTCTTCTTTACCTATCATTTCCTATTTTCCACAAAATCTTCCAAACTCTGAGAGTGAAAGCATAAAACATTACAGTTATCACTGACATCTTACTTTCATCCCATTCTCCCGAATATCTTTAATCAAAGCTCCTGGGTTCTCAGTAGCCTCAAGATGAAAGGTGTATTGATTGGCTCCTGCTACAGCCATTGGCTTTACCCATTGTTCCGGCCTGGACACCATCATGTGCATGTCTGGAAAGAAAAGACACACCTCCTAAATATTACTGAAAGGAAACTACCTGGGTCATATTATTGAAGCAAGCCCACCACAGTTTGTGCCATTTCGGATATAAACTCTTCTGGCCTCACAAGAATTGTTATTTAAATAGTTATATTTCAGTATAGGTAGTTTCACTTTGTCCTGAAGACAAGATTTTGGTTTAATTCATTTACAAAAAACATTTATTCACAAAAACTGCTGTATGTGAAAAGTAACAACTAAAAATCAGGAAACCCAGGTTCAGGAAATGTCACTCGAAAAAACTTAAAAGGAGCCCTATTATCTATGCAGACTTGTTTCCTCTAAGAAAGCTAAATTAAGTGATTCTTTCCATTTATTCTTTTGACCAACAATTACTGAATACTTATTGCATCGTTACCTTCTATAGGGCCCTAGGAATAGACCACAAAACAGATGAAAATCTCTGCTGTCATGGGGATTACATTCTCAGTGGGAGACACAAACAATAAACAAAATAAGTAAGTAAAACACATACTAGGTTGGCTGTTAATAAGGCCAGTGTGGCTGAGGTAGGGGGTGTACCAGGAGAGTAGATGAGGTCAGAGAGGCATGCAGTGAGGAGAGACAACACAGTGTTCTTCAGGCCATCGGATTTTAGTCCAAATGACATGAGAGAAATACCACAGGATTATGAGTGAAGAAATGACAAGATCTGACTGAGGAGTCTACTACGGCAAAAACCCAGGTGAGAAACGATGAGACAGCAATTGAGGATGGCAAAAAGAGGTAGGATTCTGACAGTGTTCTGAAGGTACGACCAAGAGGAGTTGCTGAGGGAGCAGAGCTGGAGGGTGAAAAGAAACTCAGGACGGTGCCAAGGATTTTGAACTCAGCAACTAGAAGAACAGAACTGCCATTAACTGGGAGGCAGAAGACTGTGGGAGAAGGAACAGATTTAGGGGGAAGGACATGTAGACGAAAAGAAGCCTGACTTTCGTCCTGATTCTAAAGCTCAATTCATACAAATGGGTAAGGGGAAAATGGGCATGGCCTTCTTACAGATTTCGACTTAAAACGTAATAGCATTTCAAAAGAAGGAGAGGACAGCTTTAAAGAGGCTAAACCAAGAAAGAACCCTGTGAAGAATCACATGCTGGAGAGATGGTAGGGAGCAAAGCTTTTGATTTTTTCTGTTTTGCTAGAGGAAGCACATTTCTGACTTAGCTAAGTTATATTTAAGAAAAGAATTCTATTATTCCAGAACTCAACCAAGATTATAAAATGCAATAAAGCTTTAAAAAAATTTCAGGACAGGAGTATACAGTCTGACTACTGAAGCCAAGAATGACATTTATATTTCCAAACTAGCAAAAGTAATTAAATTAGAACATGTTTTAATAGGTAAAACTTTATTCTTAAAAAAACGTATTTAATCTGATGTTCAGGACAGGAGTATACAGTCTGACTACTGAAGCCAAGAATGACATTTATATTTCCAAACTTACAAAAGTAATTAAATTAGAACATGTTTTAATAGGTAAAACTTTATTCTTAAAAAAACGTATTTAATCTGATATTTCTTATTTCTTTGTATTATAAAAAAGGAAAAGTCAATCTGGTTTAAAATATCTAATTTACTCACTCCTTAAGTTACCAGACTAAGTCATCCTTATTCAATCTCTAGCATGCAGTATCCTCTAGAAACTCTCTCTGAAGAATCTCAATGTTCAAGAAGTCACTGGTGGGCCGGCCCGGTGGCGCACTGCTACAGTGCGCCACTTGGGAGTGCGGTGGCACTCCCGCCGAGGGTTCGGATCCCACATACAGACCGGCTCCCGCTCACTGGCTGAGCGAGGTGCGGGAGCAACGCCGAGGTTTGCAATCCCGTTGCCG